GCGGAGGGAGGGTAGGAGTTAGAGAGCAACCAAAGGACTTGTATGCATGCATTTTAGCATATCCAATGGACACAGACACTGGGGCGGTGGGGGCTTGCCGGGGATGGGAATGGCTGGGGGGCGGGGGGTCAGTTGGGGAAAAAGGAGACATATGTAAAACTTTAGACAATAAAATATATATATATATAAGATATTTAATAGCAAGTTATTACTAAATATGTCAAGACTGACAATGCAGTCCTTACAGAAATCCCTCCATTCAACCCATTCTAACTGCTCTGGAAACCATCACACACTGGCATCAAAAAGGAAAATAAAGAGTAGAATCAGGACAAGGGAGATAAAACCAGCAGTGATAAGAAAATGGCTTTAGTCCATTTAGCAATGTACACAATGATTACACACACCTATGCTATTTTCTAGTGTTATAAGAGTCATTGGGAGACAAATATGAAAAGATCTGGGGCATCGGTTAAAGCTTTTGATGCTTGGACTTGGAATGGCAAGAGGTAGGAGAAGACACCAGACTGTCATTTCCTAAGAACTGAACAAAGGACAGGAAGAAGGATGCTCATCAGAGGCGGGCGCTGAGAAAAGGGTGATTTGAAAGCAATTCATTCTCCATATACATTTCTTTCTAATTATGAAATATTTCAAATATAAAAAATAAAAGTGCAGAAACTAATGTTTGCAAAACGAATGTACCCATTCACTCAGTGTTAACTGGTAGTAATATTTAGCCATAATGGTTTCCAAATTTAAGGGACAAAATACCAGAACTATAGCAAAAGCCCAACCACCCTACACCAGCCTTCTCCTCCTTCCTCCCCAGGACTAAGCGCTGCCATGAAGCTAGAACACCTCATCCTGACCAGGTCATGCTCAGCACCACCGTGGACCACATGTAATTTTGCTCCACAAGAAACTCCATCCCTTTTTTTTTCCCCTAAAGAGAACTTCATGACATTTTAGAAATATTACAGAAAATATAAGATTTCTTTATCACTTATTCTCAAGTAGATTTCTATAACATACATAATTACATTTCCAGGAAACCATGAGAGTGAGTTATTGATGACGAAATCTGAATGAATAAAGAGAATCCTAGACTTCAGGGCTACCTATAATGTAACTGATTCCTATCTGGAGTCCTAACTACAGTAAAGAAAAACAAGGGTTTTTTTTACCCTCCTCACCAAATATTAAATGTACCCTGTGTACAGGATCTTCAAAAAACAAACATGCTACTGAAAATGTGGTCATTGGGCCAACATGACATCAACTACAGACCTATGGGATCTGAGTGTTCATTTCCGAGAGATCCCCAAGTAACATGTGTGCACAGTAGTTTGAGAAAAGCTGTTTAAGAAGGTGACAACCTCAACCAAACTCATCCTTTCCTTGCCAGACAACATGCTTTCAGGTGTTATCTCTGCTCACATCCCTCTCATCAGACCAGCAGTCATCAACCAGGGGCAGCGTGGTCCCCTCAGGATACTTGGCAACATTTGGAGACATCTTATTACAACTTCTATCTAGGACAAGCATGTCAAAATCACGGCCAGCGGGCCACATGCCTTTTGTTTAAATGAGGCATGCAGTCCGCCGGCCGTGAATTTGACATGCTTGATCTAAAAATACTTTATGTCCAACACTCTCAAGAGTTTGTAAGTTTTCCACAGGAGTTCACACCAAATCAATAATCACTAATATTGACAGCCAAGACCAGTATAGAAAAACAACAAGTGAACATGTTGAAATATTGCACAATTTTACAAGATGAATTTTAAAAGTATTTACACTGCTACCATACATACTTCTCCAATAAAAACACTCTGGTATTCATTTAACTTAATTAATTCATTTTTCTCCTACAACATAGGATCATCTGTAAAGAAATACTCTGGCCACTTCAAGATGACAAGCATTCACTGAAAATTACTTCATTGAAAAGAAACTTCATACAAAAAATTTTTAAAGGTAATTGAAAAAACCCTCTAGTATTATCACAAGGTTTAATAATTTCATCAAAATGTCATGAAGGAATAATTTCCCTTCTTCAGAGAAAGTAGAATTAAGGCACACGATCAGAATGGTGGGAGATGGCCCAGATAGAAGAGAAAAATGGGTCACTGTAATTACTCAGAAGATGAGTAATGACCTCAGCATGTGTGGTTTTTAAAAATATATTTTTATTGACTTCAGAAAGGAAGGTAGAGGAAGAGAAATAGAAACATCAATGATGAGAGAAAATCATTGATCGGCTGTCTCCTAAACACCCCATACTGGGGATCAAGACACAACTGGGCATGTGCCCTGACCCGGGAATCGAACCGTGACCTCCTGGTTCAAAGGTCGATGTTCAACCACTGAGTCATGCCAGCCTGGCTCAGCATGTTTTTATTCAGATGAATATATTTCTGGGGTGAGCAATGCTTTGCATGGCCCTGTGTCAACTAAATTCTTCTCATCAGAGAGAGCCGTACAGTTATATGCAACACCCTTCCACTTGAAAACACTTAGTGCAGCACCCTGAGACTTTACACAGCACGAAAAGACAAGTGCATGCACCATCTACATTAGAATAACCGTGGAATGGATATTCTAGCTGTGCAAAGAAGTTGAGAGAAAGCAATTCATAGGCCACTATTACAGAGCTGTCTTTGGGCTTATAAATTCCATTCCACCACATTCTTTAATTATGTTACCAAACACCCGGAGTCATGGTCTACAGAGACTAAAACATTTGGTGCCATTTTACTCCACTCTCCCTTGCCTGCATTTGAGGAACAAGGAAGAGTTCCACCTACGAGAAATTGAAGACTTATACAGTTAAGTGTCTTTTAAAAGTTCTACCACATAGAGAGATCTTTAGTGAGCAGTGTTTGCATTCCTGAAGGCTCAAAGTTAATGTAACGACCACTTTCATTACAGAAATTCAGTTATCATCTCAGAATTAACTGCCTTGGGGGCAGGGCTGGCTATGGCTCCACAAACTGACTGCCCACTTTTTCAGTTGATCATCACCCAGAGGACCTTTTCCTATTTTTCCCCTTCCCTTTGCCTGTCGTTATCTTTAATGGGCTGGAGCAAGGAGCTTAGAAACAGTAAATCAAATGGGAGCATGGGGCAGGCGAGGAAGAGTTATTGGGCCACCCCAAGACATTCTTTGTTTTCTTTCTGGTTCATTTGGTTCTTATTTATCTTTATGTGCTGTATAAAATCAGCATTTCTTCATTTCCGAAATGACTTAAAGTTTCAGTAGGTCCCTTTATTTGGGCATTAAATCATCTCTATACTAAAGATAAGGAGAAGAGACTGGGCAAATGTTTCAAGGTCAAAGTGATACATGTCTCATAAGCTTGTCCTGTTTTTCATTCAACACATAACCCTGCCTTTTTGTCTCAATATATAAAATTGGCCTCACTTGCTGTAGATGCCTTATGATAGCTCCTTTTTCACACATCTCTCAATCTATCACTATACAAAAAGACTGCCATGCCCCAAGACTCCAAGATCAAGCACAGTAAAATATGTATCTACAGGACATATACCCTCCCATCAACACTACTGCTACAGGAAACACTACCTAAGAGCTGGAAAAGTACTACCAAAATTGTCTTGGATTTACCTTGAGCTTTTTACTCATGCAGAGTGTCCCTTATGTTTGCCTCTGCTGGATTCAAGCAGACAGCAGGGCAGGCAACAGGGATGACCCACACCTTCCCCCAGCATTTCTCAAACCTTAACATCCTAAATGGGAAACTGTTGCAATTGCTTAAAAACAGGCCAAAACCACAAATTATTTGAGGGAAAACACCCATTCCAGCACACCTTGAGTATCCACTGCAGAAGGCAGGCCTGTTCTGGTTCTGGGCTAGTCAACGCTTCTGCCAACCCCAGAATAGAAGCAGGGCTGGCAGTGGTATGGGCACCAGGGCACATGCTCAGGTCCTCCTCACTCTGAGGAACCTGGAAACAGTTCTGGACCCATGGTGTTAGGCTACAGGCAGACATGTTGCAGATCAAAAATGTACGTCCCAAGACTGAGAAAATGTCTTTACACAGTTTCTATAAGAAAAGGAACTGCGGCTCTCAGTAGATCACTACTGGGAAATTCGTCACTGTCTATATGTTGTGGCTTTTATAATCCTATCTAATAATAGAGAAACATGGTAATTAGCCATACCTCTGCTACCCTTTCCATTGGCTAATCAGGGCGATATGCAAATTAACTGCCCACCAAGATGGCGGCCGGCAGCCAGGCAGCTTGAAGCGAACAGGAGGCTTGCTTGCTTCAGTGACAGAGGAAGCCAACATTCCCCGCCTGCGGCTGCCGGCCTCTGAACTTGCAGTTTGAAACATTGTTACAAATATAGAAGCTAAACAAAACCCCAGAAACCTGCTTTCAGCCAGCTGGGATCTCAGAGCTGGAGTTGAAACAATGTTTCGATTATAGAACCCAAACAAACCAGATACCTGCTTTCACACAACGCAGAGTACTAACCACTATACGATCACGGCGAGATACCTGTGTTCAGCAGCCGAGGCCTCAGAGCTGGAGCCAAGCCTCAGAGCTAAAGCTGGCCCAGAATTTAAAAAAAAGAAAAAAAGGAGCGGTTGGGAGCTTCAGTCACCCGACAGCCTGAAAACAGCCCTCAGCCCCTCACCCAGACTGGCCAGGCACCCCAGTGGGGATCCCCACCCTGAAGGGGGTGTGACCAGATGCAAACAGCCATCATCCCCTCATCCAGGCTGGCCAGGCACCCCAGTGGGGACCCCCACCCTGATCCAGGACACCCTTCAGGGCAAACCAGCTGACCCCCACCCGTGCACCAGGCCTCTATCCTATATAGTAAAAGGGTAATATGCCTCCCAGCACCAGGATCAGCGGAGCCGCGAGGCCTCCCGGCACCGGGATCAGCGTGACAGGGGGCAGCGACCAAACCCCCTGATCGCCCTGCGGCTCTGTGTGTGACAGAGGGCGGGGCCACAACCTCCCTATCCGCCCTGCTCTGTTTGTGACAGGGGAAGGCGCCCCAACCCCCTGATCAGCTCTGCTCTGTGCCTGATAGGGGGGAGCTCCCCAACCCCCTGATTGCCCTTCGGCTCTGTGTGTGACAGGGTGCAGTGCCCTAACCCCCTGATCCGCCCTGCTCTGTGTGTGACAGGGGGCGGTGCCCCAACTCCCCTATCGGCCCTACTCTGTGCGTGACAGGGAGGAGCTCCTCAACCCCCTGATCGGCCCTGCTCTGTGCGTGACAGGGGGGAGCTCCCCAACCCCCTGATCGGCCCTGCTCTGTGCGTGACAGGGGGTGGCGCTGCAACCTCCCCATCGACCCTGCCTTGAGTGTGACAGAGGGCGGTGCCCCAACCCCCCAATTGGCTCTACCCTGAGCGTGACTAGGGGTGGCATCGCAACCTCCCGATCCGCCCTGCTCTGTGCATGACAGGGGGCGGCGCCCCAACTCCCCAATGGGCCCTGCTCTGAGCCCGACCAGGGGCTGCACCTAGGGATTGGGCGTGCCCTCTGCCACCCGGGAGCAGACCTAAGCCAGCAGGTCGTTATCTCCCGAGGAGTCCCAGACTGCGAGAGGGCACAGGCGGGCTGAGAGACCCCCCCTCCCTTCCCCCCCCCCCCCAGTGCACAAATTTTTGTGCACCGGGCCTCTAGTCTGTAATAATAAAAGGATAATATGCTAATTAGACCGGACGTCATTCCAGATGTCCTTCCGGACGAAGCCGGCAGCTGGAGGGAAGCCAGCCTGGGTCCCAGTTGCCTGGTGCCTGCGGGCGGCCAGAGGGAAGCAAGCCCAGGTCCCGGGTGGCAGAGGGAAGCCAGTGCCAGCAGCCGGGGGAAGGAAGGCCTACTCTTGCACGAATTTCGTGCATCAGGCCTCTAGTCTATAATAATAAAAGGGTAATATGCTAACTAGACCAGATGTTATTCCGGAGTAAGCCGGGCCCAGAGTGAAGTCCGGGTCCAGGGTGCCTGCCATCGGCTGGAGGGAAGTAGCCCGGGTCTCGGGTGCAGCCGGAGGGAAGCAGCCCAGGACTGTCTGCCGAAGGTGGTGCTAAACTGGCCCCCACCTAGCTCTGGGTAACTAAAGATTGTGGGGAGACAGTGCATCTTTGCTTCCCACAATTGCTCCCCACCTCTAGCAAGTTAGAGATTCCAGTGGGTACCCCAGCCTTCTACAAGATGACCACAGGGGCACAGATGACTTGAGCCAGACGTGCGACTTCCCCTGGACAAAAGCCATGCCCCATGGGTTTCTTTGGGAGAGGGTTACTGTGAGGCCCAGAGTGCTGGGAGGTAAGCCTTGGATCACCCTGTACTCCACCCAATCCCTAAGGAAGGAGGGCTTGAGCTGGTGAGATGACAGAATGAAACCTGCCTAGGGAGGGCAGAGACACAATGAAACACTTCGGACTGTCCCTTCTGGCCAGGAAAACCGAGGCCAGGGCAGCAAGAGACCCCGTCAGTCCCCCTCTACCCCCGGCAGCCGGAGGGAAGCCAGGTCCCGGTGGCCGGAGGGAAGCCGGTGCCGGCAGCCAGGGGAAGGAAGGCCTACTCTTGTATGAATTTTCATGCATTGGGCCTCTAGTGTTTCTATAAGAAGTAAAATTTGGCTATCAAAGATTTCTGAAAATTCTTCACTATTTCATTAGATAATTGCATTTTATATAGTTAATATTTCCTCTGCTTCAAATGCATTAACATGTACTTTTTTTTTTACTTAATATTTTAAACTCTAGCACACTGGCTGAGGAGGGGCTGTGTCCCCAGAACTGGAACCCCTGGGAGCATACAGCATACCCCTGTGAGACTGGCTCTTAGACTAAGCTGCATCTGACCACCAGGGAACAAGAAAAATTAATTACTAGACACAGAATCTGTCACAGTGGATGTTAAAAATAGAAAATGTGGGCCCTTTGCTTTTCATCTAAAACATGAAAAAAGCCACAGAAGACCTGCAACTGCAAAGTAGCAAATGAGGGTAAACGAGCATGATCAGACCAGGTATGCAGGGGACAGGACAAGATTTGCTTCGAAAGGCAGGCCAGGGACTGGCAGTCAAGTGGCTTCGGTTGTGCTATGTGGCGTGAAGCGTGCGCAGAGGCAGGATCTGTGAGAAGCAGCACACAGTTTGCATTGTGATTTTTTATTTGGGATGTGACTGGATTTCACATCCCACAGTTCCACTTTCTCACACTACCTTTATTTCACTGACTTCACTCCCTGTGTGAAAAGCAGTGCTTTAACCAGAAATACAAAGACAAACAAATTACATCCTCTGACCTCAAGGAACCCACATTCCTTCACAATCCTTCCCGGACCTCTGACTACATTTCTTGAGAGGAGGGCTTCGTGTCTTATATTCCCATATTACATATTCATTTATTTCACAAATACTTTAACTACCTAACATTCTAAATATATGGTAGGAATACAATGGTAAAACATGACATGGTCTCTCCCCTGTAAAGGAGCCTACACAAAGAGGAGAAACAAAAAACAAAGGCCGAGAGCTGTGTTGTGACAGGAGAGAGGCACAGAACTCTGAGCACACAGGTGGAGCCCCACACCCAGGCACCCTCCAAGGCTTGGGTGGAAAAGTCTCCTGACAAAACTGATACTCAAGCTGAGGCCTCAAGGATGAAGGAAAGTTACCCCCCAAGAAGGTATCAAAGGAGTTTCCACACAAATGAAAGTTTGTGCAAAGGTCCAAAATGAGAGAATTCGTGGAGCCTAGAGGAGTGGGAGGGTCCCAGACAGCTGGAATTCACTGGAGGAGGAGGGAGCGGCCATCAGACCAAATGGAGAGCTCAGCATTAAAGAGCCAGAATTTCTTCCTGAGGGCAAGATGTTGTTTTACATATGAGATGGGCAGTAAATATTTTCTTTGATGCATCAAATAGTCTTTCAAAGCAGTTCTACTCTTCCCTGTGCCCTGAATCAGTATGGCTGACATCAGCAAAAACATGTAGGAGCCCCTAACACAGAAGGTTCTGGGTAATACCTACAACAGTGGTGTCCAATAAAAGTACGATGCAAGCCACATATGTAATTTTAACTTTTCTAGTAGCCATATTCTTAAAAAGTAAAATTAAGATTACTAATGCATTTTAACAAATATTTCTAAAATATTATTTCAAATGTGGTCAATATTAAAAATATTAAGACATTTTACTTTCTTTTTTTTGTACAAAGTCTGTAGAACTCGGTATGCACTCTGTACTTGCTGCACATCTCCATCTGGAGCGGCCACAGGTCCAGGGCTCTGCATGTGGCCGTGGCTCCGTACTGAACAGGGCAGACTGAAAATGCGCTGTGAAAGCATTTCTTAGAAGGTCTACGGTACTTGTTGTTGTGCTGGTATTCCAAATCACTTTTTCAATGGGAAAAAAAAACACAGAGAAAAGCTCACTTTTGAAAGGTATCCAGAGCCCCATATCAGTAACACCAGCTACAGTGGGTGTGTATGCTTGCCAGACACTGTGCTGTGCCCACAATATGTGCAGGGCAGGCTTTCTAAAGAGTAAGGTCTGTATCAACAGCTCTTAAACCTAGTATATTAACAAAGCTCTGAATTAAATGAAACAGAAACAGATTAGTTCTCTGCTTTCCGTTTTATTACCTTTTGAGACTATATTTAAATGAGTATGTCCTAGAATTTTGGAGTTTTATAGGGAACCACTGTCATTTAAGGAAATGCTTAGGGTTCTCAGGCTGTCCTGCTTTGCCAATTTTTCTTTCCTGTCACCTGACTACTCTGTGTTTGCCTTAAAAAAAAAAAAAAAAAGAGCAGGGAGGTAGAAGGGGAGGGTGTCTAATATATAAAAAAACTTCATTTCAAGAATGTGGCGGGTCTGATTATATTCACTGTCTTTTATATATATATATATATTTTATTGATTTTTTACAGAGAGGAAGGGAGATGGATAGAGAGTTAGAAACATCGATCAGCTGCCTCCTGCACACTCCCCACTGGGGATGTGGCCGCAACCAAGGTACATGCCCTTGACCGGAATCGAACCTGGGACCCTTCAGTCTGCAGGCCGATGCTATATCCACTGAGCCAAACCAGTCAGGGCTATATTCACTGTCTTTTGCTTTATTATCTGGCAATTAACTTGGAAGGCCCTAAGTGCCCTGAGTGAATATTTCACTTCATTTTCCAGGCCGCTCCTTCAGAAGTCGCAAAATGTTGAATTCCACCACCTCTCAGCCTCCTGCGGAGTCCTGCTCCCAAAACCCCGTCATAACACAGCAAATCATTCCTGTGCTTTACCTGCTGGTCTTCATCGCGGGTGTGCTGCTCAACGGCGTGTCGGGGTGGATCTTCTGCTACGTGCCCAGCTCCAAAAGCTTCATCGTCTATCTCAAGAACATTGTGGTTGCCGACTTCCTGATGAGCCTGACCTTCCCCTTCAAGATCCTCAGCGACTCGGGCCTGGGCCCCTGGCAGCTGGGCGTGTTTGTATGCCGGGTGTCGGCCGTGCTCTTCTACGTCAACATGTATGTCGGCATCATGTTCTTTGGGCTCATCAGCTTCGACAGATATTACAAAATCGTGAAGCCTCTCCTGACTTCTTTCATCCAGTCGGTGACTTACAGCAAACTCCTGGCAGTGACGGTGTGGCTGCTGATGCTCCTGCTCGCTGTCCCCAACATTATCCTGACCAACCAGAGTGCTAAGGATGGCACACATGTAAAATGCATGGAGCTTAAAAACGAACTGGGACTCAAGTGGCACAAGGCATCAAACTACATCTTCGTGGGCATCTTCTGGATTGTGTTCCTTCTGCTAATCGTTTTCTACACTGCCATCACAAGGAAAATCTTCAAGTCCCACATGAAGTCCCGAAAGAATTCCATTTCCGTCAAGAGGAAATCCAGCCGCAATATATTCAGCATCATGCTAGTATTTTTTGTCTGCTTTGTACCTTACCACATTGCCAGAATCTCCTACACACAGAGCCAAACAGGAGCCCCTTTCAGCTGCCAGTCCAAGGAAATCTTGTACTATGTGAAAGAATTCACTCTGATACTGTCAGCAGCAAATGTGTGCTTAGACCCCATTATTTATTTCTTTCTATGCCAGCCATTTAGAGAAATCTTGTGTAAGAAATTGCACATCCCACTAAAAGCTCAGCATGACCCAGAAACTTCCAAAACCAGGAGGGGAAATGCGATGCACGAAAGCACAGATACGCTGTGATTTCCCACCTTTCAAATGAGGTCCCTGTGTGCGTGTTGTAACTTTCATTTACACAATGAGAGGAGTAAATGGGGGAAGGCCGTGATAGTAAGCATCGTCACTGAGCATTACTCTCCAATTAGTATAATAATTAAAACATAAGTTTCCATGCTTTTGTGTGACATCAAAGAAAAAATAATACATACATTTTTCAATCATACCAAAATAGAAGGTTTAAATTAAACACTCATCTGGTCAGTTAATATAGAATTTTAAGCAGCAAATAAGAAAATAGACAGCAATCAAGACAATTCTCAGGAGTGTGTTTCCTCTCTAAATGCAATAATTAAGTTAGTAAGTTATGGGCAGTTTTTTCAACAGGATCATCAAGACCAACTTAAAGGCAGGCAACAGCTAGAGGCCTGTTGTAGTGAGGGAGTCAAGCTGTCTGATTTGAAGGAGAAAAAGGAGACACCCACTGATCTATCTCATGGCATTTCAAAGGAAAGTAGATATAAATTATGTACTTTGCAATAAAAAATGTAATTTTTTTCTGATAGTTTTTTGAGGATGATATAAATACATTTTTAATAACGTCCTCTGCAGAGATTGGTTAAGCCACTTCATGAGCCTGGTGTTCCGGTGTTAGAGTATTTTTAAAAGTGGGCTCAAGCCCTGGCTGGTTTGGCTCAATGGATAGAGTGTTGGCTTGTGGACTGAAGGGTCCCGGGTTTGATTCTGGTCAAAGGCACATGCCCAGTTTACAGGCTCAATCCCCAGTAGGGGCTGTGCAGGAGGCAGCCGGTCAATGATTCTCTCTCATCATTGATGTCTCTCTCTCTCTCTCTCTCTCTCTCTCACACACTCTCTCTCTCTCTCTCTCTCTACCTCTCTGAAACCAATATATATATATATATAAAATATATTAAAAAAAAAAAAGTAGGCTCGACCAAGGGAAGCTAGATATGGGCACGTGTTGCGACGACTTCTCCTGTTCATGGCAGGGACAAAAAACAGGATGCCTGGGAGAAAGACACTCTCTCTCTCTCTCTCTCTCTCTCTCTCTCTCTCGCTGGCCACATACATTCTTCCCTGGGGAGGAGGAAACAACTTTCTTAGAAAGCAACTGGACTATATAAAAAAAAATATCTAAAACGTATAATAATGAGTGACAAGTTATTCATAAAATGAAAACTTACACATCACATTTTATGAAAAACAATGAATTAAAATGGGCTATGGTTGCTGACTTATGACTTATGAAAACAATCTTTCTTTGCTATTAACCAGCTGGAAGACATTCAGCCCATCTTTCCAATGTTCTTTTCAAACATTTTTTTAAGTCATGTTTATATATATATATATCATTCTTTACTGTATATGTACTAATAAAGAAACTATTTTTAATAGTCTCATTTTAAAAAAAATAATCAAGATATGAAAAAAATATTACCAGATTTCCTCATAGTCAAGACATGGGGTGGTTTGTTTAAGGCACTCAATTATGCATGTTAATAAGGACACTCAAATTGTACTTGCTTCTCATTTTTCAAATAAGTATTGCATATGCTCCATCAGATTTTAGGCAAAACTCAGAAAGCACACCTTAAATTGAAGAAGAGATGGGAAGGTTTTTATACTCTGTGCCCACTTTTTATACTTGTAAAAGCTCCCTGCTCCCAAGTCTGGGTCAAAAAACACAATCGCCAACCTACTATAAGCATGCTAGCTAAAACTAAGCTTGCTCTACTTGTTTGGCTAAATATATTTGCAAAAGAAATTGACTGAGTTTATTCTTCATCCTTTCCATGGACCAGGACAAATTACTAAATGCTGGTGTTTTAAATGCCCCTATTGGGCATGGGCAAAATGAAAGTAACAAAAAGAAGGTGGGTTGCACATGGAGAATGCCTTTGTATCGCCGTGCCAAAACAGATCAGATGTAAAAGGCAAGATTTCTCAAAAACAACATGCAATGCAGATAAGGATTCTGTGAAGCAAGAGGCGGGGGACAGTTACTACATCTTAGAACTTTCAGGTCAGGGCTACAACAAAAGGAAGCTGTTAGAGCACTGGCAACAATAGTTAACTCTGACTCCGAGGAGGTCACCAGCACCAGTGCAGGCAGGTGACAGGGAATACACACTCCAGGCCCTTCTGTAGAGAAAGCTATAGTGCAGGTCTTCAAGTGTCAGGCTGCCTGTGCGGTGTTTACACCCAGGTGCTGTGGTGGAAAGGAAGGCAATATAAGTTTGGTTGTAAGAAAATGGAAAATAGAGAATGTTAAAGATGACGGTGAGCCTGGCCGGTGTGGCTCAGTGGTTGAGTGTTGACCCATGTATGGAGAGGTTGTCAGTCCAATTCCTGGTCACATGCCTGGGTTGTGGACTCGATCCCCAGTGGGTGGTGTGCAGGAGGCGACCAATTTCTCTTTCTCTCTCATTGATGTTTCTATCTCTCTTTCCCTCTCCTTTCCACTCTCTCTAAAAGAAAAATCAATAAAAAACATAATTAAGAAAGAGAAAAAAAAGATGATAGTGAGCTGAGAGCTTGAGCCTCACCAGGAGGCCAACAGGCACTTAGCTTCAGTCAATTGGGTCCATGTGTTTTCAAGCCACACAATTTTGAATTCCAGGGCAGCAGTGAAAAGAAAACATATGTGTGGATAGAATGATATACCGACAGCTGCTCTGCAACATCTTACATGCAGAAATCTAATAGAAAGGGACTCAGAAGTGGCTCTTGACTGAAACGAAAATGCCCCTTAATAGGAATCCTCATGTTTTCTTGAACTAAACTGAGGCTCTATGTTGATGCGTAATTGATTCAACCACCTATACAAAAATACTCTAAGTGTTTTTATAAAAGAAACATTTGACACAAGAATCAAGAAACAAAGAAATCACAGTCATATAAAAAGGTCACACATGAAACCCACCCTCACCTTGCAACTGTCTTTTACAAAATGTCATCATCAGCAATGCCCACTTGTTGGTTATCTCCTCAGCTTCCACACTCTCTTTTCTCAGCAGTCAAAGCAAACTTTTTTCCTTTGGGAAATTCACCTTTCCCTGTTCTCAGCCATATCCTGTCCCTGACCTCAGGGTGAGGCCATAACTGATAACCAGCATGTCCAACTCCACTGGCCACAAGCTGAGAGGGAACAGGACCCAATGTGAGCAAGTCCTAAATTCCTGAGAAATTCTCCAGAGGGCTTGCTGTCAACATGCAAAGTCCCGAGTGCTTCTTCCATCGGCCACCACAAAAGCAAAGCTCACAGCTTTCTCTGAGTTGAAACTAACCCTGCACAAGGTGGCCAGAGAAGTGTTACCAACCCAGCCCTGGTTCAGTGACAAAGGCCCTTCATCAGCCTCAACTACGGCCGGTCCTACAACTGTGGACACTCAGCTAATGAATCTCTTCAATAGCATAAGCGCTATTTTCATTGTATTTCTTTGTCACGTACAAATGAGAAACTCCTGATATATTTGGATTAGCTTAAAAAGTAGTCCAGGAACTCTAGAAAACACCTTACACCAGCTGTGCTACCATCTGATGTAGTCTGTCCTTAACCGCCCTGCATCCTCTAACTGACACTGGAGAAAGAAGGAAAGTCAGTATCTTTATTCATACAGACCATATCTGTAACACCAGGAGACTGCATCCTTACAATTACACACAAAACAGGTCATCCCCCCCACAACGACAAGGGCTGTGCTCTGAGAAGCAGCATGTGAGGTGTGTGCTTGCATGGGGGGACCGGCGGCACCCAGTGCTCTTCAAAGGAAAACCACCATTTCCTCTCGGTCACCTATTGTCTGCAAGTAGCCAATGGCACGCAGACTTCCGTTTCATGACAAGAAATCCCCACCAGAAAACACTTCAACAAAATGTAGTTTTCCTTTCTCACAAGCCACTCTGAAAAATGCTTCAGTCATTTCATAGCACTGTTTGTACAAAATGATTAAATATTGTATTACTTTATCAGTAGTAAATATATTTTTTAAACCTTATTGATAAACTAGCTACAGAAAAGAAACAAATTACTCCATGAAATAAGGTTTCCAGGTTGATAAGGAATAGAAGTGGCTCCATTCCCATCTCCCCACCTCCAGAAGCTGAGGGAAAAGCAGGAGGCAGAGTTATAAAATGAGGCCCATCTCAACACAACAACAGATATAAAAACTACTTTCACCAGTAAAGTTTATGAGGCTACTTGTTACCTTTTGAAGGCCCTCACTGTATAATTCTGACTCCTCTCATGGTCAAAGTTAAGATCTCCCAACCCACCTCACCCCACTTCCAAAACATTATCTTTATTCAGTGCTCTGAGGACCAACAATGCAGGACTCTGGGTCAGGGTCATCCTGCTGTTCCACCCCCATGGAATCAGTACATCCGGGGAAGCCCAGAGCTACACTATTTCCCTCTCCCTCCCAAATCACAGTCACTGGTGAACTGCTAAGCCCTCAAAGTGTACAGCAAAGTCCCACAGGCGTATTCCCTATCATTTCATCCCTGGACATAAAGGACACCAAAAGATGGCTTTTATTATCTCCATATAAAATGTCATATTACTTAAAACAATTTCTCGATAATCCTTTTTCTACAGTAAATTGTAACTTGCAGATTTTTCAAGCTATTAATTATTCATGTTCCACACTGAGTCCTTAGCTTTCTGAGAGAATACCAGCTCTCTGACATCTCACTGAAATGAGGAGTTAATCTTCATTTTGTTTCTAAAGTAAAAGCCAATTTCAGCCTGGTATCATTTTTTTAAAGTACATTATATTATGTTTGATATTATTAAAGCATTTAGCAGAATAAAAAGGTAATTTTTATAGGAAATGCAGTGTTTCCATTAACGTTGTTCAAAATGAGAGCTTCTGAAGTGTTTACAAGTTTACATTCAGATGTCCGGGTGGTGACAGACAAAGCACTGAGGAATATTTAAAATCTAACTGAGAGGAATAAAGAGCAATCTGCGCTACATAAAAATAATGAGATGGCACTAAAAACACAGGAAGTCAACACACCCGATTCTCTCTTCCTCACACTTCCCTCCCCAGCATTGAACCCTGGTCGCTCCCCTCCCACTGCCATGCATTTCCGATCCTCAAAGCCTCTCAGCTAACATGACTTTAGTCCTCTAACTGGCATCTTGCCTTCCACTTTCTCCCCTGACCCCACATACTCTAACACCGCAGCTTTACCTACTGCTGCACTGCCACACAACTTTCCTGAGCTCTCCCCTGCTTATTCAAGCATCCAAGGCTGACCAGGTCGATCCAAGATTTGGTCTCATCTCTGTCCTCACACAGATCCTGCTCAGATAATCCAAGTACCCAGAATGCCTGCGAGTCCCCAAATACACTTCGCACTCCCCAGTCATGCCAGTCATGCCCCAAGCATGCCACCATCCTCCCACTTCTCAGAAGCATCCCTTCATCCTACCTGGGCATCTCCTGGATTCACAGGTTCTAACAGCCAGTAGTAATTTTGGATCACTGCAGGTCCTGCATATTCTTGTCACCCTTCTATGTTGTAACCTTCTAAAAGTCACAAAAATATTCCCTAGCATGGGCGCTAAGGAGGCAGCCTGCAAATCAGTAAATATTTGTTGCTGGATTTTTTCTTTACTTCATCAAAAAACAAAGATTCACATGAAAAGAAAGGGAGAATTCCTCTAAAGAACCTCCTCCTGGAAAGTAACAACAGGTTGTA